ACAATGCTCCCCCTTATACGCAGTGCATGAGGGGGTTGGTTGTAGCCAGGTCCACGTCCGACCGCCTTTGTCTCTCCGATGATGTCATTATTTGCACACTGCACCAGATATTATATTTATGGTTTAGTCAATCTAGGGGAGGTACAGTTCGGATATTATTTCGGATATTAGTCACCGTTGATGTTATCCTTGGTTGGGAATCAAACCAATATCGGTAAGTCCGCAGTGCAGTAATACGTGCGACTGCTGCTCGTGTTATTTCAATTCACACATATCTTGTATCGCATCACCAATTTCAATATCTGTTCTCGATGATGGCTTACTAATATCATCAATCATGTGATGTGTGATTTCTCTGTTGTGCACCTAAGAAATTAAAGCCACACACAACACTCACAGGCCATAAAACGGCCAACACAAAATACATTGCATGGTGTGACAAAGCACGACTGATAATCACATACGTGGAGGTTCGTGACACAGTGAGCCAACACGTGGTAAACCACAACCACAGCAACAAACATCGTGCAATACCACAGTCGCCATATTCACCTTACTTAACTGTGCTTGCAAGGTTTCCATGGCAATTTAGTGTAATTAGTAACCGCGTCGGGGGTACAGGGATTTAAATAGAGGACTAGCAAGGATGGGAAAGCCAGACCCCACCCACCTGCAGCTACGCTGAACCCTGCTAAGCTCCACCACTCTCTTCTGAGCATCCGTTGCTGCTGCTGCTGCCCTGAATCATCGCCATGGGGAGAATGCATCTGAACATCGTGGGAGTGCTTCTGGCCCTGCTCTTCACAGGAGCAATTGTAAGTGAGATTATGTTTTGGTGCAAATATGCACGGAGCCCAATATATTTTCACGGCACAGGCATATCCATGTAAAGCGATTTCTGGATCTGATTTTTGTATTTGCTCTTGTGGCCCCATTCTCTATAAAAAAAAAGACACAGAGTAGTCTTAACGAGCTTTCGCCTACTTAACAAATTGTAAATGATTCGTATTTGCTGCTGAAAGTAGGACAATTTCTGTCGCTCATTGGAATATCAAAACCACAATTAATTGTACACGTGCAGCCTTTTTTAAAAATATAAATCCACTGCTGGGAGAGGACTTCCCCATGCCCTGCGGGTTGATTCACAAAGTTCACTCCGCCGGTGAGTGAAGATTGGGTATAATGCGGGGAACATAGAATGTGGAAACATAGAAGTACAGTACAATGGTTATTTTTTAAATGTTCAAAGCAAAACCCCCACCAATATGTAATTGTTAATCTCGTTCTTGGTCTAGATTAAACAGTCACCTTCGCTCACTAGTTTCCGCTCTGCACTCAAAACTCTCCTACTTTCCCTCGCTCACCCCAAGGCCCCTTCATCTCCCGCTCGTAACCGCCACCGTTACTTTTCCCTCTTCATATTCTCATTATATCGCTTTCATTCATTTCCCATTCTTTAAATCCGCTCATCCTCATTGCATGGCTTTAATTCATTCCCTATTCATTTAATCCATTCATTATTTACCGTCATCAATTTCGCTATCACCGATGACACGTATCACCAAAGATTTGCCACCCATTGCTTCCTCTCATCTATTTCAGTCACCTGATTTCTTCAATTACATTGATATGTACCATTGTTAATTATGCGTAAAACGCCGTGGATAAGACGCTCTGTACATATTTTAAGATAAGATAAATACGTTTATTAAAATAAATCCTGGTCTGGAGAGGGGTATTTTTTGGGGCAATTGGAGGATATTTTTTCTGAACCGTCGATTTATCCAAACCCCCCCGCCATGCCTTTATCAGAAAACAAAACCCACAGCATTAATTTCAGCAGACAAATATAATTGGAAACTTGGTGAAATATCCAGTAACAGAACAAATCTGAGATAGAAGTGCGGATGGGACGGATATTTTTTATTGATCAAACATCACAAGTAGGACCCAAGTAAAAACAATATTTGATACTGAAATGGGTTTGTCTTTATTGAATGGGTACATAAGGAATTACTATTTAATTCGTATTTTGGAAAACTAGGAGGAATCAGTGCATTGTTTAAATTTATTGACGGCCAGTTAAACAACTGTCAAGTTATATGGTCACGTATTAAGTGGCCATATAATGAGACAGAAGAAAATGTTATCTCCACCAGGATAAACAGGGGGCTGAAAGGTTTGAGAGCTATCCATAAACTGTGATGTGTAATTATGAATATAGACGTCAGCCTTCCCCGCATCACATCAACGTTTGGGCTATCTTAATTTCGCATAACTTTAGTGTACAGGTCATTTAATTATATATAAACACACACTTGAGTAATGCGATTTGTAATGATAATTCAGCGCTGATGTATTTCATTTACTTCATGTATTATGAATTCGCTAGTTTAAACGAGTCAGCCTTACATACCTGTCAACCCCTTATCAGTGCCTTACATAGTTTAGACCAATTCAGACCTTATTGGTCACCCGGTGCCCTTATCCATCTCAAAATTCATCCTACAAAGTCCCATCACAAGGGAAAAACACAAACAAATAGACACCCATTTTTTTTAACTCAAATTCCCTGTACAAGAATACGGGTAAACCGTATGGGTTGACAGGTATGGTCTTATACACTGTATTCATACAGTTATAAACATAATTAATACTTAAAACAGAGCTCGATGAAGTTACGAACAAAAATGTACAATTGGTGATTTTTTTGTGTCGAGGCGATACAGATGTTCAAACGTGATGATGCGATACAATACTCTTCCGCGTAACTGAAGCATCATTAAATAACGGTGAGATTCAGGATAACATTTGAGCGAGGTGGCTTTCACCTGCTCATTGTATTTGCTGCCACTCACGTCTCGAAAGCGCCTATCGATCTCCGCGGTGCATTGCCCTGTTGCAAGGCGTTTGGCACGCACGTGACATTTTAATAAAGTAGTGAAAACAAGAGTTCATGAAAATCAACAGGGCGTGACGGTCCAGCAGCAATTGTTTGTTCAGCTCAGCTCATTCACTCCCTTCTATGGCTTGTTTGCCCAACGTGTGGAAATATATAAGAATGCTGTTGTAGGCAAAAAATATTAGCATGGACATCCTCGTGTACTGTTATTAACACTGTACATGTTAAAGTTTTTTTTTATCAAGTAAAAAGTTTGTCGAGGTTTGTGTTTTGCGACGCTCGCCTCTGACAAGCAATTACAACACAGATTGCAGATGGCAATTCACTTTTGTCAACAACGAATGCATGCACATCATTAACGCCACCTGGACTGGCACTTTTAACAACACGAATTAATTGAAACAACTCAGTTGAAAGTGCTATTTGTATTTCCAAAGAAAACCATGCCGTGTGTCTTATTGACCACTCTCTGCCAGCCGCACACACGTCAGCCGTGTTGGAGCGACGGTATCCATGCTGGCCATGAGCACGCTGTTTATTCGAAGACTTTTGGAAGAAAGTTGCCCTGCATTTCCATCCCCGACGAAATATCATTTCAACATTGTTGTCCCCGATGATAAACGAAGCAACAAAGAACATGTATCCATAATAGAGGTTTTTTTTGCTCATTTAAAAGCTATTTTAAAAAGTGTTCATCAGGATTTTTTAAAGAGTGATTCTTATCAAGTCCCATGGCATGAAGTTCAGTCGTATCCAAACCACTTCACTCTATCTCTCTGCCCTCTATTTAGATGCTATGAAAAAGGGCCATTTACCGAAACGTCGCTATATTATATATTTATCCTTTTAAGGTTATGGTGTTATTCATGAAATGTCTTGGAGGTTGTTGCCACGTTTAACATGGTTGCACCGACAGCATTATTGCAATGAACATTATTGCAATGAACATTATTGCAATGAACATTATTGCAATGAACATTATTGCAATGAACAAGTGCGAGCAATTTCCATTGGTCACCTTTGGCGCTCTTTGAGGCAGGCCGGAGCACATTGAAAGAGGATTGTTTCTCGTTTACGGGAAACGACTAACGCATAATTTTTATTGCCTATTAAGTTTAAGTTTCAAAACTAATATTAATGGCATTGCGAAACGATTAGACTTTATTTATAAGTAAATATGTAAAAAGTATGGAGTAGGTTATTTTGAATTGTACGACTGACATATTTTCACGTTACACATTCTTGCTTTTCACATTTTATTTGTAATGTAGTTGTGCAATATACTAAAGCTTTATACTTAAGGAAAGGCATTTAGGTGTTGCTTTCATTTTTACAATCTGCAAAAAATACACACAACAGTAACTAATGGTCTCTAAACCTTACCTGAGCAACCCCTAGGTTGACTTATCCTAAAGACATCAATATTAGTGCAGTCGGGCGTGGTGTTGACCACACCGTTTGCCAGGCTGAATAGTAGCTCAGAAATTGAACTTGCCGTTCAGTCTATTCATACGCAAGGATGTGTGCCTATTTTGATGTGCACACCAATAATACAAACGCACGGACAAAGGGAGGGCTCAGCGGATGAGTGTTCGCTTTGTAAAGCACAGGGCCTGAATGAGTCACATCTTGTGTGCCTTAACACATGGCAGCAGCCCTTGGGATGAAATGTACAACCGCCCGTTGTCAATCCATTGCTGCATGAGGGCCTCTCTCCATGCTGTGCGAGTCGTGGGGGGTTGGTTTGACCACAGCTGTCCATACTGGTCAGCGTGGCTTGGTGATGTTTGGACGTAACAGAATTGAAGCATAAATACAACATGTATTTATACGCACTGGCCTCTGATAACCACGGGGTATGTAACAGCTCCATAGCTGCAGATAACAAGCCGGAGCAAACGGTTGGTCTTACCTTATCCAGATTCACATAGCACCCTATTACAATGCACTTACAGCAATTAAAACATTGCACATAAGATGATAGTGGTGTTGAGATAAATAGTGGGGTTATTGAAAGTGGTGTAGTTATGGTGGCAGTTAGGACAGGTGGATGTGGTTAAGGAGGGGTTGGGGTAGTGATAGGTGGTAGGGGTAGTGATAGGAGTAAGGTGAGTGATAGGGGTAGTGATAGGGTTTGGGGTAGTGATAGGAGTTAGGGTAGTGGTAGTAGTTGTGATAGGCCTGGTTGTAGCTGGGAGGTGGGGACAGGGTGTAGCAGTAGCATGGGCGAGGGAGAAGATTTGAGTTTGAATGGAGGAACGGAAGCAGGTTAGTCAAGCATTACCCATGTTAAAGCCATCTTATCTTGAGGCCAGATGAGATTGGGCACATTATAGTTTTCACGTTTAAATTGCCAGGTTATTTTGTTGATTTCGAGGTGAGAACTCAAGAGACCAGGATCGTGGCACTGCGCAAATGACAAAACTAAGCTATAGAAACGTTAACATTTACGCGGATATCTGTGGAACTATACAATATGTAAACAACCAAGGATTATGCGTCAAATACAACAGTAAGTGTAGTTTTCATTTTAGCATAAAATTGTGATTGAAATGGATGCACCAAAGACGAGGTGATTTGGTCATATGCCTTTGCAAATGCTGCATGTTTTCAGGATTTATTGTTTAAAATGTTTTGTATGGGTATTGGTTGTTTTAATCCAGTAATATTCCATACGTACGGTGGGGGATGGGGGTGGTTCAGTTGTTAACGCACTGCCTTTTGAACTTTTTGTTTGTTATTGTGACGGCCTTTGTGAAAATGTGGCCTCGAAAGCCTTGCGGGATAAACGAGGAAGCTGCAATGTGCCTTGAGACGTGAGCGGCAGGCGCCTTACAAATAAATGTAAATTATTATTAATGCATACATTTTGCATGCAATTATATGGACGCTTCTCATTTGCACTCGTGCGTTTCTGTGTAAATGTTTTTGTTGTTGCTTCTAGCCTTCAGCAGCAGCTCAGACTTCAACTATACAGGTATGTTCTGCAAGCCTCCATTCAGCCACTGGTGGGAATTGTACAGGTGGGGCGCACCTGTGTGTACGTGTGTGTGTTGGGGAGCGGTGGTGTGGCGGTTAGCGTGCTGCGCTACGAACCTGGCGTTCCGAGTTCGATTCCCGATCACGGCCAACACCAGTGACGATTATCTGAACCAGTCTTGGGCCTCCCCTAGGTCAACTCAGCCTCAAATGATTACCTGGTGAGGTGTGTAAACATTGCCACTAGGGAGACAATGGCGGCCGGGCGTGGCCCTGGCCACCCACCCCCTCGTGTGCTGTGCCGGCCTTCAAAGGTGCTGCTCGCTAACAACACTTGCCCCAACAGTCTATTTCAGCCTATACGGGGGAATCTTTGTTGGGGAGCGGTGGTGCAGTGGTCAGTGCAACTGTGAATAACCCAGAAGCCCCATTTAATACATGCGATGTTATTGTGTAACTTGTTTGAGAAACCAATGTTGTTTGTGTGGAAATTGCGTTGTGCAAGTGTGTAAACTCTTTCGTTGTTATTCCTGTTGCCACCAGCATTGTGGTGGAGGTCTTTTGTGGATTTTCTTTTTTTTTCTGAAAAGGATTCGGCTCGGTTCTTTTCTTCTGGTGCTGGTGCGCATGCTTTAATGGGGTGTGACTGCAATTACAAAAGCCTCCATTGTTTAAACTTAAACACACTTTGTTGTTGTTGTAAAGCTCTCTGATGTGTTGTTGTTGTGGTGCCGCCAGTTGTATGGCATAGCACAGCGTGTCGACTTCATGCCCACGAAATATCATACTTGTCAACTCCATATCAGTGTTCTTTGGTTCTTTCGGTAAAGTCACGTAGGTGAAAAAATAAAATACATTAAATCACGACGTTTCGATTGCAACACAAGCAATCATCATCAGGTGTGACAACCACAGCAAGACATTTTTTAAAAAATCACCTACGTGACTTTACCGAAAGAACCAAAGAATATGGATCTTTGCAGTCACGAAAACTTAAAATCCATAGCAGTGCCCTACCTTATTACAGACCAATTCAGACCTTATTGGTCATCCCGTGCTCCTTATAAAGCTCAACGTTCATCCTACAAAGTCCCATCACAAGGGAGAAACACAAACAAATAGACAACACACATTTATTTCCCCGTATTAAAACGGTTGTAAACCGTATGGGTTGATCGGTATGCAAAAATAAAGATCCTACTTTCAAAAAGTTACCGTATTTACTGTGTACCTTACTTACACGCTCCAATCTCGAAGACTCTGCATCTTGTTTTCACACAACCATGCATTTCACGATCGCCGGACTGATACGAACGGCCAATTTGCACGCACTTTTTATTTTCTGTGTTTATCGCTGTCGTTGTTAGTCGTGAAAACCGCACGTGCGGTACTTTCAGTGTTTTAAGTTGCACGCGGTGTATAATGTACCGTGTGTAATATTTAGCACCGACATCAAGCGTAGCTACTTTATATTTTTGTGTGTCACGTGACCGTGGTGGTGCCGATCGCCGGACCTGGTTTTCAGCCTTTGGAGGATCGGCCCGGGACCTCAACCAGATGTTGCAAAGCAGCCGGGTAATCGATGACCGAACTGTAAAGCGAGCCACAGAACATTCGATAGCCACGGAAGGATGAAAAAACAAATACGAGTTCACTTATGGAGAAAAGAGTGGATAGGTCGCATTTTACCTACCTCTAGGCACACGTAACTACGGTGATTCTGTTTTATCTTTCCATGCCTCTACTATTATGTTTGTGCAGAAGGACCATTGCCTAAAATGTCGTCTACTATAATTTCTCTTTTATTTTTTAAGGCAATCAATGTCAATTGACGAATGTGTGTAAAACGGAGCATCTCGAACGCCTGTTTTTATCGCCAGAAAGGATAAAACCTATTATTATATTTTTTCTAAATGTTTGATATTGGCAAAAAGGTCCCATAGATATAACTGATACCTCTCAACCCATACTGTTAACCCGTATAGGGAAATTGAGTTTTCAGGTCCATACGGTGTACAGCCGTTTCAATATGGGCAAATCATATACATATTTTGTATCTATCTGTTTGCGTTTCTCCCTTGTGATGTGACTTTGCAGGATGAACGTTGAGATTTATAAGGGCAGGGGTGACCAATAAGGTCTGAATTGGTCTGTAATGAGGTGACAAAGGCTTGACAGGTATAACTGCTCGACCCGAGCTATAAGTGTTCTTTGATACGTGCATTGTCTTTGTACTGTTCGCCTTTGGGCGTTCACTGATCTGACACCGGTGAGACTAGGCCATAGAGAATGCTGTCTCTGGTGTAGGCCAATCAGTTACAACGAAAATGCATATATTATCAGAGAATGTGTGTTTGCCAGAAAGGGTAAAACGTATTCTTATTTTTTCACCAAGTAGTTTGTTAAATTCTGTGTGTATGTGCATGTGCGGCATCTGTGAATTTTCCATTCGTCACGTCTTCTCATGAAGCCAACCACTCTACCTGTAACTACTCCTGCCTCAACTTCAATCCCCGCAACTACACAGGTGAGTGCCGTCCAAATGCACAAACGAAGGTACGATCATGTTGGTCTGGTTGTCCTAAACACCAGACAGAAGAGCTTGACTTCAATTCAACCTTGAATTCTCACATACACACCCACAATATTTCTTGTAGTGTGTTTTAGCAATCATTAGGCGTGTGTAGCCTTTAATTGGGGCGCCGTAGTGGGAAGATGTTAACTAGTTCGCCTGGTAAACATGAGGTCGTGGGTTCTTTCCCAACCCTGGATTCTGTATATTTAGAGTTTTTACGTGTCTTTCTCTCTTCTCGTGGTCGTGTGGTATTTTCTCCGGGTCCTCTTGTTTTCCTTCCACATTGAGAAACATGCGGTTAGAGAATTTGGCTGCGATAAATTTCCACGTGATGAGAAGCCACTTCGTTGACCAATCATTTATGCCCAGGTGGCCCCTGAAATAGAGCTATATTGCACAGTGTGCCATACCTTGTAAAATAAAAATAGTTGAGTTCATAGTTTAGTCTAATTACCTTTTTTCTTCTGAGATAATATTGACAGGGATGGGGAGATGTACTGTGGTGGGTCGTGAGTAGTTGAGCTAATTAAACCCCGGTACTAATGTACAGTGTAACTGTTAATTAAAAAGGTAATGGTGCAGCTCTGCAAGAAATGCCACTGCTGTTGGTCGAAGGGCCTGCACTAGAGAGAGCTATAGAGAGCGCATCTAGAGCATATTTGGTCTACTTTCCCACACAGGCCTGAAGGCTTGGAATGGGCGAGAGTACCCAAACTGCACCCCACCACATGCAACCTGCCCGATCAGCTGGAGTGTACCAAATTATATTGTTTGGTGGACAGAGGTGTGGGGATTTCATAAACGTGCAACATTGTTGCGACTGCCATGCCGCTAGATCACACTGGTTACTTCTCGATTTCAAGTCCGAGGTGCTAACTATTTACATCACGGCAGTGTCCCATTGTAACACTTGTCGTATGGAGCCCTATTACCTGCAATGTCTATATCCATGGCCCACAACCGATCCGTGATAGGTCATCATCGTATTTGTATTCTCAAATACTGTGATTTCACAATGACATCTACAGTACATTCTGGTGACATCTTGATTTACCTTCGGGGCAGGCAGCAAAAAAAGAGGATATGCCACCCAAGCTTTCATCAACATCAACCATCAAATCGAGAACAAATTCTCATTCAATGGAAACCTAATTTTAAATAAAGATTTTTTTTAAAAAGTGATCAAGTATTTTAAAACAATTATGTTTGTATGTGTGTGTGTATGTGCGGAATGTGTGTATTTTCCATTCGTCACGTCTTCTTATTAAAGTCAACCACTCCACCGACAACTTCAATTCCCGCAACTACACAGGTGAGTGCCGTCTTAAGGCACAAACGAAGGTACGATCAAGTTGGTCCGGTTGTCCTAAACAACAGACAGAAGAGCTTAACTTCAGTGCAACCTCTAGGTTGCGTATGGCACACACGTACTCACCCACAACATGTCTCGTAGTGTGTTTTAGCAATCATCAGGCGTGTGTAGCCTGTAAGTGGGGCGCCGTGAGGGTAGATGTTAACCACTTCGCCTGGTAAACATGAAGTCGTGGGTTCTTTCCCAACTCAGGCACATGTATATTTAGAGTTCCCGTGCCTCTCTCTCCCCGTGGTCGTGTGGATTTTTCTCCGGGTCCTCCGGTTTTTCCCTCCGCATTTGGAAAGATGCGTTTAGAGTATTTGGCTGCGATTAATTTCCAAGTGATGATAAGCCACTTCGTTGGCCAATTATTTGTGCCCAGGTCGCCCCTGAAATAGGGCTATATTGCTAAGTGCGCCATACCTTGAAAAATAAAAATAGTTGAGTTCATAGTTTAATCTAATTCCTTTTTTTGTTCTGAGATAATATTGGCAGGGATGGAGATATGTACTTTGGTGGTGGGTTGTGAGGAGTTGAGTTAATTAAAACCTGTGATAATGTACAGTGTAACTGTTATCATTAAAAGGTAATGGTACAGACTTGAAAAATAAACCACTGCTGGTAGAAGGGCCTGCACTAGAGAAAGATATAGAGAGCCCGTCTAGAGCATATTTGGCCTCTTCTTACGTACAGGCCTGATGGCTTGGAATAGGTGGGAGTATCCACACTGCACCCCACCACATGCAACCTGCCCGATCAGCTGGAGTGTACCAAATTATATTGTTTGGTGGACAGAGGTGTGGGGATTTAATAAACGCGCAACATTGTTGCGACTGCCATGCCGCTAGATCACACTGGTTACTTCTGGATTGCAAGTCCAGAGTGCTAACTATTACATCATAGTCGTGTCCCATTGTAACTGTTGTCATATGGAGCCCTATAAACCTGCAATGTCAATATCCATGGCCCACAACCGATCCGTGATAGATCATCATCATATTTATATTCTCAAATACTGTGATTTCACAATGACATCAACAGTGCATTCTGATGACATCTTGATTTACCTTCGCGGCAGACAGCAAAAAACAGGATATGCCACCCAAGCTTTCATCAACATCAAACATATTCTCATTCAATAGAAACCAAATTTTAAAATATATAATTTATTTTAAGAGTGATCAAGTTTTTTATTCTGTTTGTATGTGCATGTGCGGCATGTGTGTATTCTCTATTCGTCATGTCTTCTTATTAAAGTCAACCACTCCACCTACAACTTCTTCCACCTCAACTTCAATCCCCGCAACTACACAGGTGAGTGCCTTCCAAATGCACAAATGAAGGTACGATAATATTGGTCTGGTTGTCCTCAACACCAGACAGAAGAGCTTAACTTCAATTCAACCTTTAGGTTGCATATGGCACACACATACTCACATACACACCCACAACATGTCTTGTAATATGTTTTAACATTCATCAGGCGTGTGCAGTCTGTAAGTGGGGCGCCATAGTGGGTAGATGTTAACCAATTCGCCCGGTAAAACATTAAGTCGTGGGTTCTTTCCCAACCCAGGCACATATATATTTAGAGTTTCCATGCCTCTCTCTCCCCGTGGTCGTGTGGATTTTTCTCCGGGTCCTTCGGTTTTTCCCTCCACATTTATAAAGATGCGTTTAGAGTATTTGGCTGCGATAATGTTCCACGTGATGATAAGCCACTTCGTTGACAAATCATTTGTGCCCAGGTCGCCCCTGAAATAGGGCTATATTGCTCAGTGCGCCATACCTTGTAAAAAATAAATAGTTGAGTTTATAGTTTAGTCTAATTCCTTTTTTTGTTCTGAGATAATATTGGCAGGGATGGAGAGATGTACTTTGGTAGTGGGTCGTGAGGAGTTGAGTTAATTAAACCCGTGATAATGTACAGTGTAACTGTTGTCATTTAAAGGTAATGGTGAAGACTTGCAAAATAAACCACTGCTGGTAGAAGGGCCTGCACTAGAGAGAGCTATAGAGAGCCCGTCTAGAGCATATTTGGCCGATTCTTCCATACAGGCCTGATGGCTTGAAATTGGCGGGAGTACAAAGACAAAGATCCCCCGTATAGCCTTAGCAGACTGTAGGGGCAAGTGCTGTTAGCGAGCACCTATGAAGGCTGGAACGGTACACAAAGGGGTGGGTGGCCAGCACCACGCCCGACCGCCTTTGTCTCCCCAGTGGCGTTGTTTACACACCGCACCAGGTAGTCATTTGAGGCTGAGTCGACCTGGGGGAGGCCCAGGACCGGTTCAGATAATCGTCACTGGTGTTGGCCGTGAGCAGGAATCGAACCTGGATCGTTGGGTTCGTAGCGCAGCGCACTAACCGCTGCACTATCGCTCCCCATATCATCATCGTATTTGTATTCTCAAATACTGTGATTTCACAATGACATCAACAGTGCATTCTGATGACATGTTGATTTACCTTAGGGGCAGGCAGCAAAAAAACAGGGAATATACCACCCCAACCAGAATAAATATCTATAATATTCTCATTCAATGGAAACCTCATTTTTAAATATATAATTTATTTGAAGAATGATAAGCAAGTATTTTTTAAAAATTCTGTTTGTATGTGTATGTGCGGCGTGTGTGTATTTTCCATTCGTCACGTCTTCTCATTAAAGTCAACCACTCCACCTACAACTTCTTCTACCTCAACTTCAATCCCCGCAACTACACAGGTGAGCGCCTTCCAAATGCACAAACGAAGGTACGATCATGTTGGTCTGGTTGTTCTAAACACCAGACAGAAGAGCTTAACTTCAATTCAACCTAAAGGTTACGTATGGCATACACGTACTCACATACACACCCACAACATGTCTTGTAGTGTGTTTTAGCAACCACCAGGCGTGTGTAGCCTGTTATTGGGGTGCCTTAGTGGGTAGATGTTAACCACTTCGCCTGGTAAACATGAGGTCGTGGGTTTTTTTTCCCAACCCAGGCACATGTATATTTAGAGTTTCCGTGCCTCTCTCTCCCCGTGGTCGTGTGGATTTTGCTCGGGGTCCTCCCGTTTTTCCCTCCGCATTTAGAAACATGCGTTTAGAGTATTTGGCTGCGATAAATTTCCAAGTGATGATAAGCCACTTCGTTGACCAATCATTTGTGCCCAGGTCGCCCCTGAAATAGGGCTATATTGCTCAGTGCGCCATACCTTGTAAAATAAAAATAGTTGCGTTTATAGTTTATTCTTATTCCTTGTTTTGTTCTGAGATAATATTGGCAGGGATGGAGAGATGTACTTTGGTAGTGGGTCGTGAGGAGTTGAGTTAATTAAACCCGTGATAATGTACAGTGTAACTTGCCATTTAAAGGTAATGGTGAAGACTTGCAAAATAAATCACTGCTGGTAGAAGGGCCTGCACTAGAGAGAGCTATAGAGAGCCCGTCTAGAGCATATTTGGCCTATTCTTCCATACAGGCCTGATGGCTTGGAATAGGCCGGAGTACAAAGACAAATATCCCCCGTATAGCCTTAACAGACTCTAGGGGCAAGTGCTGTTAGCGAGCACCTATGAAGGCCGGAACGGTACACGAGGGAGTGGGTGGCCAGCACCACGTCCGACCGCCTTTGTCTCCCCAGTGGCGATGTTTACACACTGCACCAGGTACTCAAATGATGCTGAGTTGACCTAGGGGAGGCCCAGGACCGGTTCAGATAATCGTCACTTGTGTTGGCCGTGAACGGGAGTCGAACCCGGATCGCCGGGTTCATAGCACAGCGCACTAACTGCTGCACTACCGCTCCCCATATTATCATCGTATTTGTATTCTCAAATACTGTGATTTCACAATGACATCAACAGTGCATTCTGATGACATGTTCATTTACCTTCGGGGCAGGCAGCACAAAAACAGGATATGCCACCCAAGCTTTAATCAACATCAAACTTGTTCTCATTCAATGGAAACCTCATTTTTAAATATATAATTTAATTGAAAAATTATAACCAAGTATTTTAAAAAATATATGTTTGTATGTGTATGTGCGGCATGTGTGTATTTTCCATTCGTCACGTCTTCTCTTAAAAGTCAACCACTCCACCTACAACTTCTTCCACCTCAACTTCAATCCCTGCAACTACACAGGTGAGTGCCTTCCAAATGCACAAACGAAGGTACGATCATGTTGGTCTGGTTGTCCTAAACACCAGACAGAAGATCTTTACTTCAATGCAACCTCTAGGTTGTGTATGGCACACACATACTCACATTTACACCCACAACATGTCTTGTAGTGTGTTTTAGCAACCATCAGGCGTGTGTAGCCTCTTATTGGGGCGCCGTAGTGTGTAGATGTTAACCACTTCGCCTGGTAAACATGAGGTCGTGGGTTCTTTTCCAACTCAGGCACATGTATGCTTAGAGTTTCCATACCTCTCTCTCCCCGTGGTCGTGTGGATTTTTCTCCGTGTCCTCCCGTTTTTCCCTCTGCATTTAGAAACATGCGTTTAGAGTATGTGGCTGCGATAAAGTTCCACGTGATGATAAGCCACTTCGTTGACCAATCATTTGTGCCCAGGTCGCCCCTTAAATATTGCTCAGTGCGCCATACCTTGTAAAATAAAAATAGTTGAGTTTATAGTTTAGTCTAATTCCTCTTTTTGTTCTGAGATAATATTGGCAGGGATGGAGAGATGTATTTTGGTGGTGGGTCGTGAGGAGTTGAGTTAATTAAACCCGTGATAATGTACAGTGTAACTGTTGTCATTTAAAGGTAATGGTGAAGACTTGCAAAATAAACCACTGCTGGTAGAAAGGCCTGCACAAGAGAGAGCTATAGAGAGCCCGTCTAGAGCATATTTGGCCTATTCTTCCATACAGGCCTGATGGCTTGGAATAGGCGGGAGTATAAAGACAAAGATCCCCCGTATAGCCTTAACAGACTGTAGGGGCAAGTGCTGTTAGCGAGCACCTATGAAGGCCGGAACGGTACACGAGGGGGTGGGTGGCCAGCACCACGCCCAACCGACTTTGCTTCCCCAGTGGCGATGTTTACACACTGCACCAGGTACTCAATTGAGGCTGAGTTGACCTAGTGGAGGCCCAGGATCGGTTCAGATAATCCTCACTGGTGTTGGCCGTGAGCGGGAGTCGAACCCGGATCGCCGGGTTCATAGCGCAGCGCGCTAACCGCTGCACTACCGCTCCCCATATCATCATCGTTTTTGTATTCTCAAATACTGTGATTTCGCAATGACATCAACAGTGCATTCTGATGACATGTTAATTTACCTTAGGGGCAGGCAGCAAAAAACCCAGGATACACCACCCCAACCAGAATAAATATCTATAATATTCTCATTCAATGGAAACCTCATTTTTAAATATATAATTTACATGTATTTGAAGAATGATGACCAAGTATTTGAAAAATAGTTATGTTTGTACGTGTATGTGCGGCATGTGTGTATTTTCCATTCGTCACGTCTTCTCATAAAAGTCAACCACTCCACCTACAACTTCTTCCACCTCAACTTCAATCCCCGCAACTACACAGGTGAGTGCCATCATAATGCACAAACGAAGGTACAGTGAGGGAAAAAAATATTTGATCCCCTGCTGATTTTGTATGTTGGCCCACTGACAAAGAAATTATCAGTCTACAATTTTAATGGTAGGTTTATTTGAACAGTGAGAGACAGAATAACAACAAAATCCAGAAAAACGCATGTCAAAAATGTTATAAATTGATTTACATTTTAATGAAGGAAATAAGTATTTGACCCCCTCTCAATCAGAAAGATTTCTGGCTCCCAGATGTCTTTTATACAGGTAACGAGCTGAGGTTAGGAGCACACTCTTAAAGGGAGTGCTATTAATCTCAGCTTGTTACCTGTATAAAAGGCACCTGTCCACAGAAGCAATCAATCAATCAGATTCCAAACTCTCAACCATGGCCAAGACCAAGGAGCTCTCCAAGGATGTCAGGGACAAGATTATAGACCTACACAAGGCTGGAATGGGCTACAAGACCATTGACAAGCAGCTTGGTGAGAAGGTGACAACAGTTGGTGCGATTATTCGCAAATGGAAGAAACACAAAAGAACGGTTAATCTCCCTCGGTCTGGGGCTCCATGCAAGATCTCACCTCGTGGAGTTGCAATGATCATGAGAACGGTGAGGAATCAGCCCATAACTACACGGAAGGATTTTGTCAATGATCTCAAGGCAGCTGGGACCATAGTCACCAAGAAAACAATTGGTAACACACTACGCCATGAAGGACTGAAATCCTGCAGCGCCCGCAAGGTCCCCCTGCTCAAGAAAGCACATATACATGCCCGTCTGAAGTTTGCCAATGAACATCTGAATGATTCAGAGGACAACTGGGTGAAAGTGTTGTGGTCAGATGAGACCAAAATGGAGCTCTTTGGCATCAACTCAACTCGCCGTGTTTGGAGGAGGAGGAATGTTGCCTATGACCCCAAGAACACCATCCCCACCGTCAAACATGGAGGTGGAAACATTTTGCTTTGGGGGTGTTTTTCTGCTAAGGGGACAGAACAACTTCACCGCATCAGAGGGACGATGGACGGGGCCATGTACCGGCATTGAAAATGGGTCGTGGATAGGTATTCCAGCTCGACAATGACCCAAAACACACGGCCAAGGCAACAAAGGAGTGGCTCAAGAAGAAGCACATTAAGGTCCTGGAGTAGCCTAGCAACTCTCCAGACCTTAATCCCATAGAAAATCTGTGGAGTGAGCTGAAGGTTCGAGTTGCCAAACGTCAGCCTCGAAAGCTTCATGACTTGGAGAAGATCTGTAAAGAGGAGCGGGATAAAATCCCTCCTGAGATGTGTGCAAACGTGGTGGCCAACGACAAGAAACGTCTGACCTCTGTGATTGCCAACAAGGGTTTTGCCAACAAGTACTAAGTCATGTTTTGCAGAGGGGTCAAATACTTATTTCCCTCATTAAAATGCAAATCAATTTAAAACATTTTTGACATGCGTTCTTCTGGATGTTTTTGTTGTTATTCTGTCTCTCACTGTTCAAATAAACCTACCATTAAAATTATAGACTGATCATTTCTTTGTCAGTGGGCAAACGTACAAAATCAGCAGGGGATCAAATACTTTTTTCCCTCACTCTACGATTATGTTGGTCTGGTTGTCTTAAACACCAGACAGAAGATCTTTACTTCAATGCAACCTCTAGGTTGCGTATGGCACACACATACTCACATCCACACCCACAACATGTCTTGTAATGTGTTTTAGCAACCATCAGGTGTGTGTAGCCTGTTATTGGGGCGCCGTAGTGGGTAGATGTTAACCACTTCGCCTGGTAAACATGAGATCGTGGGTTCTTTCCCAACCCTGGCACATGTATATTTAGAGTTTCCGTGCTTCTCTCTCCCCGTGGTCGTGTGGATTTATATCCGTGTCCTCCGGTTTTTCCCTCCGCATTTAGAAAGATGCGTTTAGAGTATTTGGCTGCGATAAATTTCCACGTGATGATAAGCCACTTCGTTGACCAATCATTTGTGCCCAGGTCGCCCCTGAAATATTGTTCAGTGCGCCATACCTTGTAATATAAAAATAGTTGAGTTCATAGTTTAGTCTAATTCCTTTTTTTGTTCTGAGATAATATTGGCAGGGATGGAGAGATGTACTTTTTGGTGGTGGGTCATGAGGAGTTGAGTTAATTAAACCCTTGATAATGTACAGTGTAACTGTTATCATTAAAATGTAATGGTGAAGACTTGCAAAATAAACCACTGCTGGTAGAAGGGCCTGCACTAGAGAGAGCTATAGAGAGCCCGTCTAGAGCATATTTGGCCTCTTCTTCAATACAGGCCTGATGGCTTGGAATAGGTGGGAGTATCCACACTGCACCCCACCACATGCAACCTGCCCGATCAGCTGGGGTGTACCAAATTATATTGTTTGGTGGACAGAGGTGTGGGGATTTAATAAACGCGCAACATTGGTGCTACTGCCATACCGCTAGATCACACTGGTTACTTCTGGATTGCAAGTCCAAAGTGCTATTACATCACAGCAGTGTCCCATTGTAACTCTTGTCATATGAAGCCCTATAAATCTGCAATGTCAATATCCATGGCCCACAACCGATCCGTGATAGATCATCATCGTATTTATATTCTCAAATGCTGTGATTTCACAATGACATCAACAGTGCATTCTGATGACATCTTGATTTACCTTCGGGGCAGGCAGCAAAAAAACAGGATATGCCACCCAAGCTTTCATCAACATCAAACATATTCTCATTCAATGGAAGTCTAATTTTAAAATATATAATTTATTTGAAGAATTATAACCAAGTATTTTTTTAAAATTCTGTTTGTATGTGCATGTGCGGCATGTGTGTATTTTCTATTCGTCACGTCTTCTCCTTAAAGTCAACCACTCCACCTACAACTTCTTCCACCTCAACTTCAATCCCCGCATCTACACAGGTGAATGCCTTCCAAATGCACAAACGAAGGTACGATAATATTGGTCTGGTTGTCCTAAACACCAGACAGAAGATCTTAACTTCAATGCAACCTCTAGGTTGCGTATGGCACACACGTACTAACATCCACACCCACAAAATGCCTTGTAATGTGTTTTAGCAACCATCAGGCGTGTGTCGCCTGTTATTGGGGTGCCATAGTGGGTAGATGTTAACCAATTTGCCTGGTAAACATGAGGCCGTGGGTTCTTTCCCAACCCAGGCACATGTATATTTAGAGTTTCCGTGCCTCTCTCTCCCCGTGGTCGTGTGGATTTTTCTCCGTGTCCTCCGGTTTTCCCCTCCGCATTTAGAAAGATGCGTTTAGAGTATTTGGCTGCGATAAATTTCCACGTGATGATAAGCCACTTCGTTGACAAATCATTTGTGCCCAGGTTGTCCCTGAAATAGAGCTATATTGCTCAGTGTGCCATCCCTGGTAAAATACATAAGTAATATAAAAAAATACTTTGATTAAAACACTATTTAATGAAATGTACCATACTTGTACTGGCAAAACTCCACGACTCCAGGAAGTGACCCCGAAGCTTGCCACAACGTAAGGGACCCGTGGTGATTTACAGCCAACGTCAGTTGAGCGTGGACAATTAGACCCAAGCCGAAACATAACATATAAAAAAGATTGTTTATTTATTTTTTGTTTTATTTTTAATGATAGAATATAGTATTGTCATCAGTATGACATAAGTATACCAAGTTTGCAGTCGACAGTACATTGGGAAGTGGGTTAAAATTGAGCTACAAGATTTGAGGATACGACAACAGACAGTGAGTTAATAGAAAGCGTGTAAAAAGATTGTTTAAAAATATATTTTTATTTTCTCATGATAGAATACAGTATTGTCATCAGTATGACTTAAGTATACCAAGTTTGCAGTCGATACCACGTTGGGAAGTGGGTTAAAATTTAGTTACAAGATTTGAGGATACGACAATAACAACAGACAGTGAGTTAAATAAAAGCGTGTAGTAAAATAGTAGACTTTTTTAGTTGAATCTAATAACTTTTTTTTGCTCTGAGATAATATTGGCAGGGATGGAGATATGTACTTTGGTGGTGGGTCGTGAGGCGTTGAGTTAATTAAACCCGTGATAATGTACAGTGTAACTGTTATCATTAAAAGGTAATGGTGCAGACTTGCAAAATAAACCAATGCTGGTAGAAGGGCCTGCACTAGAGAAAGATAATGAGAGCCCGTCTAGAGCATATCTGGTCTACTCTTCCATGCAGGCCTGATGGCTTGGAATAGGTGGGAGTATCCACACTGCACCCCACCACATGCAACCTGCCCGATCAGCTGGAGTGTACCCAATTATATTGTTTGGTGGACAGAGGTGTGGGTATTTCATAAACGCGCAACATTGTTGCGACTGCCATGCCGCTAGATCACACTGGTTACTTCTGGATTGCAAGTCCAGAGTGCTAATTATTACATCATAGCATTGTCCCATTGTAACACTTGTCGTATGGAGCCCTATAAACCTGCAATGTCTATATCCATGGCCCACAACCGATCCGTGATAGATCATCATTATACGTGTATGCTCAAATCTTGTGATTTCAGAATGATATCTACAGTGCATCCTGATGACATCTTGATTTATCTTAGGGGCAGGCAGCACAAAACCAGGATATACCACATCAACCAGAATAAATATCAATTATTTTCTGACTAAATGGAAAACTCATTTTAAAATAGAGAATTTCTTTGAAGAATCATCAAGTATGTTTTTTTTTTATTGTATGTGTATGTGCGGCGTGTGTGTATTTTCCATTTGTCACGTATACTCATTAAAGTCAACCACTCCACCTACAACTTCTTCCACCTCAACTTCAATACCCACAACTACACAGGTGAGTGCCGTCCAAATGCACACACGAAGGTACGATCATGTTGGTCTGGTTGTCCTAAACACCAGACAGAAGATCTTAACTTCAATTCAACCTCGAGGTTGCGTATGGGACACACGTACTCACATACACACCCACAACATTTATTGTGATGTGTTTTAGAACTATAAAATATATTTTAATATTTAGCAAGTCTACTGTTTAAATGAGTGTGTGTGTATGGACTTGCTTGTTTTTAACACATAGGCTGTCGCGACCAATATCATCCAGAAAAGAGGTTTTTTTTGGCTCTCCAACACACCGGTGTGCTGTCCTAGTGACGAATTGGCACGTTCTGTTTACGTGACAACCCTTACTATTTGGTTGTGTCGGGTGGTGGCGGATTTAACGACACATTTACATATTTAAACGATCTAACCCACCAAAACACCCTCTATTATGGGTGATTGTTTTTGTCCATTTGTCTGCACTGCAGTCAACCTCTGCGAATGCTGCAACAAGCACAACAACAGCATCAGGAAGTGCGGCAATCACTCAGGTTGGTGATTTGTGAAAGTTTGGTAATTTGTCCATGTGGTTGGAACAAATGGAATAACAATTTGCTGTTTTAACTTTGTACTATTGTGAATTAATTATTGCCTTCTAGTCCAGACATCACTGGACTTGTACGACCAGCCCTATTATCTGCAGAACTATTACATGCAAACATAATGTGGATGGCGTACAATCAATCTGTGATAGATCATTGTAGTTATATCCTCAAATCTTGCGATTTCACAATAACATCTACATTGCATCTTGATGACATCTTGATTAAACCTTAAGGGCGTGCAGCCACCTAACAGATAATTTCGCCCCAGCCATAATCAATATTAACAACATTCTCATTCACAGATAACCTAACTTTAAAATACATTGCTAGACATATAACGATTTTTTTCTGTTTTCTTTTGGACAGGTGATTTTTAAACTCCTCAAGAAACACTTTAAGAACCAAATGGTCCACTCTTTGTTTACTCTGCTTATGCTGAGGGAGGGTGGCGTTTATGTACAGACTGCCCTATATGACATAATAACAGGCTGGACCACTGGACGGGTTCAGCAGGATTGGAAAGATGCCCTGGTGGTCTTCTCCTCTTAAAGAAGGGGGACCACACATACTGTAGCAACTACAGGGGCATCTTCCTCCTCAGTGTGCCAGGAAAGGTACTGGCAAAGATTATTGAACATCGTCTTGCCAGGCATGCTGAGAAGAGGTTTGTGCAGCCCCAATGTGGATTCAGGCCAGGGCAGTCCTGCAGAGATGCCATATGTTCTGTCCGTCTGCTACAGCAGAGGTGTAGGGAATTCCAACAAGACCTACATCTCTCCTTTATTGACCTAGTCAAGGCCTATGATACCATCAATAGGCCCGGGCTCTGGGTTGTTCTTCATGTTTTCGGAGTGCCTGACTCTCTGCTTAAGGACCTTCAAGATGGTGTGCAGGCCTGGGTAAAACTACATGCCTGGGAGTCGCAGCTATTCCCTGTTCACCTTGGGGTGCGACAGGGATGTCCTCTGGCTCCCACATTATTTAACATATTTTTCGACCATGTAGTTTGTGAAGCCTTCTTTAGTTGTACCAGAGGAATATCCATCTGGTACAGAGAGAATGGTAGGCTGATCGATGCCCGGGTGCGGTCAAGGGATGGCTCTGTGTTGGTCAACCATGTTATGTATGCTGATGATCTGGTAATTGCTGCTCACTCAGAGGAGGAGTTGGAGGCACTGCTGCCGACCCTAGAACGTGCCACTAAGAGTTGGTCCTTACCATCAGCCCCACCAAAACTTAGCACGAGCCTGGGTATTTGTGCCATCAACACGCCACCCCCCAACTCCCCATTGGTGATAGGGCAGTTGTGGAGAGAGTGGAGATTATTCCATATCTGGGCAGTGTGCTTATGACCAGCTCCTGTTTGACAGTAGAGGTCTCACTCCGAATCAGTCGAGTGGCATTATAGTTTCATCGGCTGCTTCACACTGTGTGGAAGCTGCCTGGTCTGTTGCTCCACATGAAGCTTCGGGTCTTCTCGGCCATGGTCATGCCCTCCCTCCACTTTGCTTGAGAAACATGGACCCCCCCTAATGGTACATCTTCATCGGTTAGAATAATTTAGGCTGGCCTGCCTACTATCCATCCTAGCTTTAATCATGCTGGATGATGTGAGGAGCTCACAAATCTTTGAAAGATCTCGACAAAGTCCCATCGGTGAGCTCCTCCGGCAGCCAAGGCTGCATTGGTTGGGTCATGTAGCCGGCATGCCCAGCCACCGCATACCTAAACAGCTTTTGTTCGGCCCGATAAAAGTGGCTAAATAGGTGCAGTATTGTCTAGAGAAGAGATGGAGTGATGTGGTATAAGAGGATGTGAAGCTGAGTGGACTTTCCGATGACTGGTACGAGCGGTGTCACGATCGGCCTCTGTGGAGGAGGCTTATGAAGCATGCTACTGGGCAGTTGGAGGCAGTCGCCCTCCCTCAACAACTGAGGGTAGAGGAGCGAGGTTCACAGCAATGAGCGGAGCATCGGGCGGCTAAAACACAGAAAGTTGGCACAGTAGGGAACACAGGTGGTGCATCGGCCAGTCATCTCAGTCAGTCAATGCATGGCACCTGGGTCTGTCCCATGACCTCCTGCCAGCAGGTGTTCAACACTTCACGTGGCCTTACAGTGCACTTCGCCTGGCACAAGTGCTGTGGTGACATCACCACCACATTGGCGAATGACGGTTGTTGTTGTTGTTTTTGTCCATTTGTCTGCACTGCAGTCAACCTCTGCGAATACTGCAACAACCACAACCGTTGCATCCGGAAGTGCAGCAAGCACTCAGGTTGGTGATTTGTGTGGTTTGGTAATTTGTACATGTGGTTGGAACACATGCGCTGACAATTTGCACAATTAAACTGCTGTTTTGACTTCACGCTATTTGAAATGAATTATTGCGTTCTAGTACAACAATCACTGTACCTGTAAGACCAGCCCTATTAAATGCAACGTCAATATACATGGCACGAGATCAATCCGTGATAGATAATTGTAGTTGTATTCTAAAATCCTGTGATTTCACAATGACATCTGCAGTGCATCCTGATGACATCTTGATTAAACCTTAAAGGCGTGCAGCCAACTAACAGGATATTCCGCCGCAGCCATAATCAATATTAACAACATTCTCATTCACAGATAACCTAACTTTAAAATACATTGCTAGACATTAACGATTTTTTTCTGTTTTCTTTTGGACAGGTGATTTTTAAACTTCTCAAGAAACACTTTAATAACCAAATGGTTCACACTTTGTTTACTCTGCTTATGCTGAGGGAGGGTGGCGTTTATGTGCAGACAGCCCTATATGACATCATAATAACAGGCTGGACCACTGGACGGGTTCAGCAAGATTGGAAAGATGCCCTGGTAGTCCTCTCCTCTTTAAGAAGGGGGATCACACAAACTATAACAACTACAGGGACATATTCCTCCTCAGTGTGCCAGGAAAGGTCCTGGCAAAGATTATTGAACACCGTCTTGCCAGGCATGCTGAGGAGAGGTTTGTGCAGCCCCAATGTGGATTCAGGCCTGGGCGGTCCTGCAGAGATGCCATATGTTCTGTCTGTCTGCTACAGCAGGGGTGTATGGTATTCCAACAGGACCTACATCTCTCCTTTATTGACCTAGTCAAGGCCTATGATACCATCAATAGGCCCGGGCTCTGGGTTGTTCTTCGTGTTTTCGGAGTGCCTGACTCTCTGCTTAAAGACCTTCAAGATGGTGTGCAGGCCTGGGTAAAACTACATGCCTGGGAGTCACAGCCATTCCCTGTTCACCTTGGAGTGCGACAGGGATATCCTCTGGCTCCCACATTATTTAACATATTTTTCGACCATGTAGTTTGTGAAGCCTTCTTTGGCTGTACTAGAGGAATATCCATCTGGTACAAAGAGAATGGTAGGCTGATCGATGCCTGGGTGCGGTCAAGGGATGGTTCTGTGTTGGTCAATTATGTTATCTATGCTGATGATCTGGTAATTGCTGCTCACTCAGAAGAGGAGTTGGAGGCACTGCTGCCGACCCTAGAATGTGCCACTAAGAGATGGGTCCTTACCATCAGCCCTACCAAAACTTACCACATGCCTGGGTATTTTGTGCCATCAACACGCCACCCCCTCAACTCCCCATTGGTGATAGGACAGTTGTGGAGAGAGTGGAGATTATTCCATATCTGGGCAGTATGCTTATGACCAGCTCCTGTTTGACAGTAAAGGTCTCACTCCGAATCAGTCGAGCGGCATTATAGTTTCATCGGCTGCTTCACACTGTGTGGAAGGTGCCCGGTCTGTTGCTCCACATGAAGCTTCGGGTCTTCTCGGCCATGGTCATGCCCTCCCTCCTCTTTGCTTGAGAAACATGAACCCCCCTAATGGAACATCTTCATCGGTTAGAAAAATTTAGGCTGGCCTACTATCCATCCTGGCTTTAATCAGGATGGATCGTGTGAGGAGCTCACAAATCTTTGAAAGATCTGGACAAAGTCCCATTGGTGAGCTCCTCCGGCAGGCAAGGCTGCATTGGTTGGGTCATGTAGCCTGCATGCCCAGCCACCGCATACCTAAACAGCTTTTGTTCGGCCGGATAAAGGTGGCTAAATAGGTGCAGTATTGTCTAGAGAAGAGATGGAGTGATGTGGTATAAGAGGATGTGGAGCTGAGTGGACTTGCCGATGACTGGTATGAGCGGTGTCACGATCGGCCTCTGTGGAGGAGGCTCATGAAGCAAGCTAATGGGCAGTTGGAGGCAGTCGCCCTCTATCAACAACTGAGGGTATGGAAGCGAGGTTCACAGCAATGAGCGGAGCGTCGGGCGGCTAAAACACAGAAAGTTGGCACAGTAGGGAACACAGGTGGTGCATCATCAGCCAGTCATCTCAGTCAATCAATGCATGGCACCTGGGGTCTGTCCCATGACCTCCTGCCAGCGGGTGTTCAACACTTCACGTGGCCTTACAGTGCACTCAGCCTGGCACAAGCGCCGTGGTGACGTCACCGCCACGTATTGACGAATGACGGTTGTTGTTGTTTTTGTCCATTTGTCTGCACTGCAGTCAACCTCTGCGAATACTGCAACAACCACAACCGTTGCATCCGGAAGTGCAGCAAGCACTCAGGTTGGTGATTTGTGTGGTTTGGTAATTTGTACATGTGGTTGGAACACATGCGCTGACAATTTGCACAATTAAACTGCTGTTTTGACTTTACGCTATTTGAAATGAATTATTGCGTTCTAGTACAACAATCACTGTACCTGTATGACCAGCCCTATTAAATGCAACGTCAATATACATAGCACGAGATCAATCCGTGATAGATAATTGTAGTTGTATTCTCAAATCCTGTGATTTCACAATGACATCGGCAGTGCATCCTGATGACATCTTGATTAAACCTTAAGGGCGTGCAGTCAACTAACAGGATATTCCGCCCCAGCCATAATCAATATTAACAACATTCTCATTCACAGATAACCTAACTTTAAAATACATTGCTAGACATATGAACGATTTTTCTGTTTCTTTTGGACAGGTGATTTTTACACTTCTCAAGAAACAGTTTAAGAACCAAATGGTTAACTCTTTGTTTACTCTGCTTATGCTGAGGGAGGGTGGCGTTTATGTGCAGACTGCCCTATATGACATCATAATAACAGGCTGGACCACTGGACGGGTTCAGCAGGATTGGAAAGATGCCCTGGTGGTCTTCTCCTCTTAAAGAAGGGGGATCACACATACTATAACAACTACAGGGGCATCTTTCTCCTCAGTGTGCCAGGAAAGGTCCTGGCAAAGATGATTGAACATCATCTTGCCAGGCATGCTGAGGAGAGGTTTGTGCAGCCCCAATGTGGATTCAGGCCTGGGCGGTCCTGCAGAGATACCATATGTTCTGTCCGTCTGCTACAGCAGGGATGTAGGGTATTCCAACAGGACCTACATCTCTCCTTTATTGACCTAGTCAAGGCCTATGATACCATCAATAGGCCTGGGCTCTGGGTTGTTCTTTGTGTTTTCGGAGTCCCTGACTCTCTGCTTAAGGAGCTTCATGATGGTGTGCAGGCCTGGTTAAAACTACATGGCTGGGAGTCGGAGCCATTCCGTGTTCACTTTGGGGTGCGACAGGGATGTCCTCTGGCTCCCACATTATTTAACATATTTTTCGACCACGCAGTTTGTGAAGCCTTCTTTGGCTGTCCCAGAGGAATCTCCATCTGGTACAGAGAGAATGGTATGCTGATCGATGCCCGGGTGTGGTCAAGGGATTGCTCCGTATTAGTCAACCATGTTATGTATGCTGACGATCTGGTAATTGCTGCTCATTCAGAGGAGGTGTTGGAGGCACTGCTGCCGACCCTAGAACGTGCCACTAAGAGTTGGGGACTTACCATCAGCCCCTCCAAAACTTAGCACCTGCCTGGGTATTTAGTGCCATCAAACATGCCACCCCCTCAACTCCCCATTGGCAATAGGGCAGTTATGTACAGAGTGGAGAGTATTCCAAATCTGGGCAGTGTGCTTATGACCAGCTCCGGTTTGACAGTAGAGTTCTCACTCCGAGTCAGTCGAGCGGCATTATATTTTAATTGGCTGCTTAACGCTGTGTGAAATCTGCCTGGTCTGTTGTTCCACATGAACCTTTGTGTTTTCTCGGCCATGGTCATGCCCTCCCTCCTCTGTGCTTGTGAAACATGGACCCCCCTAATGGAGCATCTTCACCAGTGAGAATAATTTAGGCTGGCCTGCCTACTATCCATCCTGGTTTTAACCAGGCTGGATGGTGATGAGCTCACAAATCTTTGAAAGATCTGGACAAAGTCCCATCGGTGAGCTCCTCCGGCATGCAAGGCTGCATTGGCTGGGTCATATAGCCCGCATGCCCAGCCATCACATAGCTTAACAGCTTTTGTTCAGCCGGATAGAGGTGGCTAAATATGTGCACTATTGGGTAGAAAAGAGATGCAGTGATGTGGTATAAGAGGATGTGAAGCTGAGTGGACTTGCCGATGGCTGGTACCAGCGGTGTCACGATCGGCCTCTGTGGAGGAGGCTCATGAAGCATGCTACTGGGCAGTTGGAGGCAGTCGCCATCTATCAACAACTGAGGGCGGAGGAGCGACGTTCACAGCAATGAGCGGAGCGTCGGGCGGCTAAAACACAGAAAGTTGGCACAGTAGGGAACACAGGTGGTGCATCGGCCAGTCATCTCAGTCAGTCAATGCATGGCACCTGGGGTCTGTCCCATGACCTCCTGCCAGCGGGCGTTCAACACTTCACGTGGCCTTACAGTGCACTTAGCCTGGCACAAGCGCCGAGGTGACGTCACCGCCACATAGTTGCGAATGACGATTGTTGTTGTTTTTGTCCATTTGTCTGCACTGCAGTCAACCTCTGCGAATACTGCAACAACCACAACCGTTGCACCCAGAAGTGCAGCAAGCACTCAGGTTGGTGATTTGTGTGGTTTGGTAATTTGTACATGTGGTTGGAACAAATTGAACAACAATTTGCACAATCAAACTGCTGTTTTGACTTTGCACTATTTGAAATAAATGATTGCAATCTAGTCCAGACATCACTGTACCTGTAAGACCAGCCCTATTAAATGCAACGTCAATATACATGTCACGAGATCAATCCGTGATAGATCATCACATTCATATTCTCAAATCCTGTGATTTGACAATGACATCTACAGTGCATCCTAATGACATTCTGATTTACCTTCGGGGCAGGCAGGAAACTATAGGATTTTCTTCCCCAGCAATATTCAATATTAACAAAATTCTCATTCTCTTTGTTTTTTTCGGTAAAGTCACGTAGGTAAAATAAAATAAATGAAAACAACTAAATTAAATCACGACTTTTCGGAGGCAACACAAGCTTACGTCTTCAGGTGGAACAGTCACAGCAAAATAGCTGTATCAAGTGAAGAGCTCTGAGACACCCGAGATTATATACAGGTTAAGGGGGGGGGGGGGGGGAGGAGCCAGAAAGGGACATGGGTGGGGAGTGGAGGGCTAAGTTAAGCCGCCTTTTGTTATGCTGCAGGGGGTTCGGGGGGTGCGATGGTGCATTGCACGAGAGCGAGTACAACCACTGGTAGAAATGGAAATGGCTGTACAATTATAAGGCAGCTAATATTTGACTTGGTTGATGACATCTTTCCAATGGTTGCTCAATTTAAAACCATCCTCTTGGTTGAAGTTGTGTCTATGTTTGTAAATCTGGATGGCTTCATGGACAAATCTTTGGTAATAACTGGGACGTTTGCATAGTACTTTGGTATCGGAGAAAACAATGTCATGAGAACCCGCTGTGTTGAAACAATGATCAGCCACGGCCGAAGAATTCGTTCTGTCATGTTTCAAATCTGATTTGTGCTCGCGAATTCGGTCAGAAATATTCGCAAGCACAAATCAGATTTGAAACACGGCAGAACGAATTTTTCGGCCGTGGCTGATCATTGTCTCAACACAGCGGGTTCTCATGACATTGTCTTCTCCGATACCAAAGTACTCTGCAAACCTCCCGGTTATTACCAAAGATTTGTCCATGAAACCATCCAGATATACAAACATAGACACAACTTCAACCGAGAGGACGGTTTTAAATTGAGCAACCATTGGAAAGATGTCATCAACCAAGTCAAACTTTAGCTGCCTTATAATTGTACAGCCATTTCCATTTTTGCCAGTGGGTGTACTCGCTTGCTTTCAGCGCGCCATCACTTCCCCCGAACCCCCTGCAGCATAACAAAAGGCGGCTTAACTTAGCCCCTCCCCCCCACCTACGTCCCTTCCTGGCTCCTCCCCCCCCTAACCTTATATAATCTCGGGCGTCTCAGAACTCTTCACTTGAAACAGCTATTTTGCTGTGACTGTTTCACCTGAAGACGGAAGCTTGTGTTGCCTCCGAAACGTCGTGATTTAATTTAGTTGTTTTAATTTATTTTATTCTACCTACGTGACTTTACCGAAAAAACCAAAGAGTATGAATCCTTGCAGTCACGAAAGCTTCAAATCTAAAATTCTCATTCACAGAAAACCTAACTTTAAAATACGGTACTTGACATTAAGTATTTTTTAAGTTTGCTTTTGGAGAATTGATTTTTAAACCTCTCAAGAAACACTTTAAGAACCAAATGGTAGCATTCATGTAGTTTTATGATGTTTATGTGAGTGTGTGTGTGTAAATGTGCTGATTTTTGTCCAATATCTGCACTGCAGTCAACCTCTGCGAATTCTGCAACAACCACAACCGCTGCATCAGGAAGTGCGGCAAGCACTCAGGTAGGTGATTAGTGTAGATTTTTCATTTGTACATGTGGTTGGAACAAATTTAATAAAACAATTCACAATTAAAATGCTGTTTTGACTGAGCACTGTTTGCAATCAATTATTACATTCTAGTCCAAACATTGCTATAACTCTAAGACCACTGACTATTGTAATGCAACACTCATATCAGAGGAACTTTACCTACCTACGTACCCACACAAATATTTTACCCTACCTATCCACCCACCCGCACATCCACCCATTCACTTACATACCTACCGCACTTCCTACGCTGCTATCGATGCACTTACCTACCCTACCACCTACACACTCAACTAACTACCTATCCATTCATTCACCCACATACACATCTTGCTACCTAGCCACCTGTGCAGCCATCCACCCACCTGCACATCCAACCACCTACACACCTTATCCTTCTACCTACACTTCTACCCTTCCTCTAATCCACCTACCTACCCATCCACCTTTCCATCCACCGAAACATCCACCCACCTATACGTCTGCCTGCCCACCTACCTACCCCCTTGTCCATCTGCTCACAGGCTACATCCAGTGGATCCGTCGCTTCGTCTGCATCAGGGGCGACAGCAGGAGGGAACAGCAGCTCGGGATCGACGGGGACAGCGGGGAGCACCACGACCTCTTCCGTGGCAACAACCAACGATTCGAGTCGCACTGAGCCCATGTCGTGCCTGGCCGTGATGCTTCTGCTGCTGGCCCCTGTCGCTCTCACTTTGGTATCACAGTGACCCATCCCCGTGGCGTTCAGAGGTAGGTACGCCAGTGGTGGGGGGCGCGTACACACTCACCCCCTCTCCCCTACAGCGCCAGAGCCAGATTAACGCGGTGGCTTTTAGGGCTGCAGCCCTGGGGGGCCTTCGGATTTGGAGACCCCCCCCACAAAAATAATATGTGTGTCGCTCAGCAGGCCTGGGAACACCTGGGGATTCCCCAGGATGAGCTAAAGTCTGTGTATAGTCGTGTATAGTAGTCTGGTGTGTAGTAGTGTATAGTGTAGTGTATAGTGTAGTGTATAGTAGTGTAGTGTATAGCAGTGTAGTGTAGCATATAGTAGTGTAGTAGTGTATAGTAAAATAGTGTATGGTTTAGTAGTGTATAGTCTAGTGTATAGTAGTGTGTAGTGCAGTGTATAGTGTAGTAGTGTATAGTGTAGTAGTGTATAGTGCAGTGTATAGTGTAGTAGTGTGTAGTGTATAGTTTAGTAGTGTATAATGTAGTAGTGTATAATAGTGCATAGTGTAGTAGTGTATAGTAATGTAGTGTATAGTGTAGTAGTGTATAGTTTATAGTAGTGTATAGTGTAGTTTATAGTGGTGTATAGTGTAGTGTAGTAGTGTATAGTGTAGTGTATAGTGTAGTAGTGCCGGAGTCCATCGCCAGGGAAATAGAGGTGTGGACCGCCACTATTCAACACGCTGCTGTAGTGTATAGTAGCGTATAGTAGTATATAGTGTAGTAGTATATAGTGTAGTAGTGTATATTAGTATATAGTGTAGTGTATAGTGTAGTAGTGCTGGAGACTGTCGCCAGGGAAAGGGAGGTGTGGACCGCCACTACTCAGCACGCTACCGCCGCGACCTTCACCAGGACAAGCGGAATGAGAAGCGAACGAATGAACGACCAAATTACTCTATATTCTTGGTTCTTTCGGTAAAGTCACGTAGAAGGGAAACAATAAAATAATAAAAATATAAAACAATAAAATTATCACGACGTTTCGACTGCAACACAAGCAATCATCATCAGGTGTGAAAACCACAGCAAGAAAATTTGAAAAAAGTGGTGTTTTTTTTAACGATAGCACCACGGAGAGCGATTTGACAGTTTATTCAGATGGACGAGTCCATCTAAGTTCGGAAAAGAGGAGGGGGGGAGACTAAAATAATGGATGCGGTCTGAAAGCCACCGTAAGTGTGAACAATCAATTAAGACCCAAAATGGTTTTCAAATCCTTCAACACATTACATAAAATTCGTGATCTGGTTCTGTCTGTAAAAGATGTGATTCCGGATATACAGTACCCTAGCGTCTACAAACTAAGTTGCCTCTGTGGTAGTAGTTACATTGGAGAAACCAAACGACATGTCTCGGACCGCGTTCGTGAACACAAAGCAGACCTAAAACACGGTGGGACCAACACCTCGGCCGTGGCAGATCACTGTTATAATTCAGTAGGCTCACATGACATTGACTTTTCCAAGACAGAGGTTCTTTGCAAGCCATCTGGCTACCATGAGAGATTCGTTCATGAGGCTATCCACATATACAAACACAGAGACAATTTCAACCGAGAAGATGGATTCTGGCTTAGCAATCATTGGAAGGATTTGATAAACCATTTAGGGTCTTAATTGATTGTTCACACTTACGGTGGCTTTCAGACCGCATCCATTATTTTCGGCTCCCCCCTCCTTTTTTCCGAACTTAGATGGACTCGTCCATCTGAATAAACTGTCAAATCGCTCTCCGTGGTGCGAACGTTAAAAAACCGCCACTTTTTTCAAATTTTCTTGCTGTGGTTTTCACACATGATGATGATTGCTTGTGTTGCAGTCGAAACCTCGTGAGAATTTTATTGTTTTATATTTTTATAAATTTATTATTTCCCTTCTACGTAACTTTACCGAAAGAACCAAGAATATGAATCCCTACAGTCACGAAAGCTTTAAATAAAAAAGACCAAATTACTGCTTTAATTTATAATGGTTCAAATGCAATACTGTAGAACTAGGATATACTGTATATCCTTTGTGCAATTTTGTAATTACGGCCCAGAGCATAGCAATGTGTATTATTTACATGCACAACTTAAACTAGTTTACTTAAGTTGTAACCTTGATATTAGCGATGACAATTTGCGTGTCGCATAAAAAAAAACGGAGCTGACAAAAACCCCGAAATAAAGAACGACGGAGCGTTTGACATCAGAGGCACGGGCAGTGGTAAAGTATTAAAGGGAGGGGAAATTAATGTACTGGACAATGAGGACGCCCCAGAACTAACCTCCCCCCCCTGCCCCCCACACCTCGGGCCCCCACTAAAAGATAATCTGCCCACCACATTATACACTTTGTTTAACACGTAGGATTTCGCGACCAATATTATCTGTCCATAATAGAGTTTTTTGGGTTAGATCGCGTAGATATAAACGTATCGTTAAACCCGCCACCACCCGACACAGCCAATAAATAAGATTTGTCAGGTAAACAAAACGTGGCAATTCGTGACTAGTTCAGTACACCGGTGTGTGGGAGATTATAATCCTGGGTGGAAGCAGAGCACGCCTGTAGCCCAGCGCCGTGGAGTCAGGGGTGGGATTGTTGCATCATGCAATGTTGTGAAACTCCCCTTCCCGTGGGCGTCATGGGGGTTGCGATACCCTGGCTCGCCAAAAGGTGGTACAGGCGACTTACGAACGTCCGAATTACGAACGCCCGACTTATGAACACTTGTACTTACGAACCAGCTTCCATGAAAAAATAATAATAGCAAATAACATCGACTTAACATACGAACTCGTGCTTGAAAACTGAACTACGGAGCTATTTTATTGAGAGTAGCGATCCTCCGCACGATGTAATGCGTTTACCAATGCTTCCCTTGCTGCTGAACTGTAACTCATTTCATGACAGTCATTTCATGAGCATTTAAATGCAGTGCGTTGTTGTGTTCCGACTTACGAACCGCTCCACTTACGAACGGGTCTCAGGAGCGAATTAGGTTCGTAAGCCGAGGGCTGCCCGTACAGCAATTGTAGACTGCCTGCTACCCCCTTGCACGCGTAATATCGACATACATATGTATTTATTTTATTATGTGTATCTGGTGCTCTGGCTGTGTGAAAGTCACGTGTAACAAGCATTCGCGAAAATTTATCTGGGCACTCCGGTTTTGCCCCACATGTAATCGCTCATTAATTGTCCGATTACACCTTAATATACAGAGGACCGCAGAGCATGGGGGAGGGGGTTCAATTTGGTGCCGTCTCACTGCGTAGCTGCTGCTGCCTTCCCGCTCGTCCATGATTCCGCTTCGCACCTCTGAATCGTTGTCTCTTATCGAGAGAGTGAGTGAATCCTGAGAAGTCCTGCGTTGCGAGTTGACAACGTTATTATTATGATGGTGATCATGGCACGTGCAGTTTTACATCGTCCGGCTCTGGTCTCACGCCATCAGTACGCAATCTCGCCTCATCTGCACGTGGAGCAGCAGTGGTTTTGCTACAATGAATGCGTTGGCTGTGGCTACTATATCTGCTCCACTCATATTTGAGCATATTGGGGGTACGCCTGTAGTGCGCGGTATATATATAAACAATGTTTTAACAATAATTGTGTTTTTTTCTCCATGATTCGCAACGCCGGTCAGAAAATCTTGCGGGGTGGTGGTGAGCGTCAAAATCAGTTCACGTGGTGTCGAAGCAGTTGGAAGACGAACGTCAGTTAAACTTTTTATTTTAAGAGCTGTTCTATGAATGTGTCATGCTGCAATGGTGTAACCGCCAATACGTCCTTTTCACCATTAATTTCTGTTGCCTGCTTCTGGCTAGGACCTTCATGTGGAGGAAGAGGTGGAGGAAGAGAAGGAAGGATGTGAGTGAAAATCCTCCAAATCGACGATATTCTACAGCAGCGGCAACGGTCGGGGATTCGAATCTCGCAGATGGAATGCTGTCGTCGAATCTCCATGTCCTCCTTTAGTTCAAACTCTTAATTTTATGGTTTCAAATGCGCAACATGCGCAGGACAGGCATCGCCAATTTCATCATGGGAAATAAATAAATCATGACATGGTAACAAACTATGTGAACAGGGCGAGCATGTTTGTTCTAACTTTTATTAAAACAATGCTACCTCGAGAGCGATAATATTAACTTTAAAACCCCTTTTGAACTATCGATGAAAATGAATAATTACAAAATGAGGACGAATTCCTCGTGCTTCTGTGGGGTTTCTGGACAAAGCCGCAACGAGGTAGCCGACACTTTAATCGTTCGGCATGAACTTACATATTCATTAATTTATTAAAATAGGTTATTATGATGACGATTCACGCATCGCATTGCGTGACAACCGATGACAGTACTTTTGTCTCCCATGTTTTATGGAATAGATTCACTCATCCCTGCAGCAGTCACTTGAAGTGATGGTGCGTCCACCACAATGTCAACAAGATATGAATCGGTTGTTGGATAGCAATCGATCTCAAATTGTCCCCAAGTAATTTAATCATGAGAGAGAGTGAGTAAATCGGTCAATGCCTATTGCTCAGGTAAAGAGCCTCGTGTTAGGCACAAATATTGTAATCAGTTCACGTGTAGACTAAATTCAGCTCATCTGTAGATTGGAATCAAGTGACATGTAGACTGAAGAATGTTGTCAAGGGATTCTCCCTGTCCTTTTATGGATTTAATATTATATTATAAACGACTCACGATGGTTGGGGCGGTTGAGGGCACGAATGTCAATCATATTTTGGTGTCAGTAAAACACGAGTCCTGTAAAACATTGGTCCTGCTTCATTGTGTTGGCAAAATTATGTCGTTCACCAAAATTTGGCAGCGCGATCAAACCCAAAATACACCAATTTTGAATCATACTGTAACTCATATTGATAGAAGAGGGGGCGGTGAGAGGACGCAGGGTTGCTCATTCAAGAGTCTTTGTCTGATCTTGACTGACGGATCTCACGGCAAATTTAAAGCTCCTTCTCAATCATTGGTGCAGGTCGCACAATTGAGAGAAAATACGGGAGGACCTGTACCTGGCAGTGGGAGTTTAGAGGCTGAAAACAACGACACGAGTGCCTGTAACCCAGCTTAAGGAATGAAAAATAAGAGCATGTTTAGTTGGGCAATTCCAAGTACAGACCTCTGACAGTCACTTTTAAATTTCCCTTTTTTTTACACTTTTAATTTGAGAACATTTCAACCCACACCCGCTGTTGGTCGTCACCGTTAACATGTTACACTCCGACGAGTTCCAGTGTGTTCGTGCAGAAGGCTCGTGTGGTGAACACACACACACGTTATTGACTGGAACATTTCATTTGTTGAAAGGGGGAGTGTTTGAAATTGGCTGGCATATTATTATTATGTCTTTGTAATGGGCCATAGCAGTGGTGGTGCTGCATGTATTTTGGCTACAAAACTGTTTTTTTTTCCCTTTCTGGCTAAATGTTATAATACTACAAATTATATGTTTCAATAACTAATAGACACCTTGCACTAATGCACTTTTTTCACTCCCCCCCCCCCCCCCATGGAAATTGCTATGTCGTTTTAACCTATCATCCCTCCCTATTTGTTACCATAGGAATGTGGAATTTCCAACCACTAGCTCAGGGCTGTAAATGGCAAAAGGTGCTGCCCAATGGATAATGTGAGCAGGGAGATCATGTGACTTTGAACCGATAAGTTCCCCACCGTTTAATGCTATCTTATAATGTGTGAATATTTAAGAATCATAGAGAGCGAGAGTGTGCGTCATTTAAGTAATATGATTTGCAAAATGTATTGCCTGCACCTGAGAAATGCTATTTAATATTTTCTCTGTGATTTTGAATACCAGTATTTATGAGAAAAAAATATTTAGAAAATGTTTTGTAATTGAAAAACCTCACAATGTGAAGGTATGATTGAAATCTGCATGTAATTTTTCTTGATGTGTTTTATTGAGAACGTTATAACATTGTCATGATAATAAAATCTAGCTGTTTGAAAACTTATGAGTTGACATGTTTGTTGTTTATCTTACCAATTTCATTGGAGGAAAAATCGTTTACATTTGTAACTCTTTGTGCCCTGCAGTGTTTGATAATGGCTCTGGAATGTGATGTCACAGACTGACTTCTGAAAGTAAATTTACGAGGCCTCTCTATTCACACGAAGGGCACGCACCTCTTTATATGCCTTACAAACGGGTGTTCATCACGTGGTAAACAATTTTTTTTAATGATCAGAACTGTAATACGCCAAATTAAGTAAATATATATACAGTATTTATAATTGGGTTTTCAGGTAGTCATTGGTGACTGGGCTAAGACCATTCATTAACTTTTTAACACGTAGGTTTTCGCGACCAATATAATCCATAATGTTTTTTTTGGGGTTAGATCGCGTTAATATATAAATGTGTATTGATTTGAAGCTTTCGTGACTGCAGGAATCCATACTCTTTGGTTCTTTCGGTAAAGTCAAGTTGGTATAAAATAAAATAAATCACGACGTTTCGGGCGCTACACAAGCGTTCTTCATCAGTTGGGAAAGCGTGGTCTGCTGCTGAGGCAGACTGTTTTAAAAGGTTTGAAATGGGTGTAGCTCAAGGGTTATATAGAAATGGCCGGGGCTAGTGATGTTAATGTGAGAAATTAGCATGTAACTGTAAGATAGGAGGGGAGCGGCCTCCTAAATGAGGGCACGGAAGTGGCTATGTTAATGTGAGGGATTAGCATGATGTTATTGTTATACATTAGAGGGCACGGAAGTGGCTATGTTAATGTGAGGGATTAGCATGACGTTAATGTTATACATTAGAGGGCACGGAAGTGGCTATGTTAATGTGAGAGATTAGCATGCTGTTAATGTTATACATTAGAGGGCACGGAAGTGGCTATGTTAATGTGAGAGATTAGCATGATGTTAATGTGAGAAATTATCATGATATTCACGTGAGAAATTAGCATGTAACTGTAGAAAAGGAGAAGAGCGGCCTCCTCGACGAGGGAGTGCAACCCAACGGGTGTAATCCGAATTGCCTGTGAGCATGAGAGTGGAATCCAAAGGCATCAGAGTGCAATGCAAAAGACATGTGAGCATGATAGATCTAAGAGAGAGGCATAGATGAGAGACACACAGAGTCGGAAATAACAGCTGACATTGGCAGGTTGGATGGAAACATCACAGTCAGTTAAGACTTTACCTGGTTAATAACGTCCTTCCAATGATTGCTCAGTTTACTTTTACATTTTAATTTCTCACATTAACATCATGCTATTCCCTCACATTAACATAGCCACTTCTGTGCCGTCATTTAGGAGGCCGCTCTCCTATCTTACAGTTACATGCTAATGTCTCACATTAACATCACTAGCCCCGGCCACTTCTTTATAACCCTTGCGCTACACCCATTTCTAACCTTTTAAAACAGTCTGCCTCAGCAGCAGACCATGCTTTCCCACCTGATGATGGACACTTGTGTTGCGCCTGAAACGTCGTGATTTATTTGATTTTATACCTACGTGACTTTACCGAAATAACCAAAGAGTATATAAATGTGTCGTTAAAACCCACCACCACCCGACACAGCCAACTAGTAAGGGTTGTCACGTAAACAGAACGTGCCAATTCGTCACTAGTACAGCACACCGGTGTGTTGGAGAGCCAAGCCACAACATTTACAAACTGAGTACGACGTTTCACCAGTAATTACCACTAGCTTAATCAGGCGACAGCCAGATTTGTAGAGAAGTCCACCTGCTTCATTCCTTATATAGAGGCATAGATGTGGTGACCACACTTCTGCGCTCTTGCGCAATGTGGGGGGGAGGCGGGGGGGATTAATAAGCCAACGCACATTATGCATGCGCATTATGCGAGCCTTTTTATCTTGTCCTTCCTGTCCATTGTGTGTGTCGGGTGGTGGTGGGATTGAACGAAACATTTATATATTTACGCGATCTAACCCAAAAGAACCTCTATTATGTACTAACTTTTTCACGAACCATTTTCTCGAGAACCCAGTTTAATTACGGGCAGCTGAAACCCCAGAATGTTGTAACTTGACCATGTTCGCAGCAAATTTAGCACAAGAACCCATCCGATAATGGACAGTTACACTTTGCCGAGATAAAAGAGAAAACAAAGCTAATTACGTACAAAAGCAAGACAGTTAACACAATTCAGAAGGTAGGATAATTAGATATACCTTCTATAAGCAACATTACATTTCCTGTGAGAATAGGTTTTCCCCTTTTTTCTGGCAACAAAACAGGTGTTAAGATGTTAAAACACCAAACTGAAACCTTTTACAAGGAATCATGTCTGCATTAACCACAATACTTGTGGTCAGAATACAAACAAAAAACGTACTCTGATAATATATGCATTGTTTTTTAAACTGATTGGTCCACACCAGAGACAGCTTTCTTTTGAGCCTAGTCTCAAAACTGTGTTAGATCAGAGGACGCCAAAAGGCGTACAGCACAAAGACAAGCATTATCAGAGTAATGTAATGGACAATGCTCTGAAAGAAATAAAGACATGCAGAAGTATTAAGATTGTTTGAGAATTGAACTCGGAGAAAACATTGAAGCAATGATGGAAGATGTCGTGATAAAAAATAATTTCAACTTGTAATAGGCCAAATCTCCCCCTCCCAAGCACCTATATAAAGGTGTTTTCGGCCAATTAATGAGCACCCGAAGGAAACCCACGTGTGCAAGGCCACAACACTCTATCCCATGCGGATGGAAGAGGTGAAGTCCAACATTTGCTGTACTGCCTTCTCCTGGCGGGCCAGGATAATGGTTCCTCGACGCCTATGGGAAGGGAGTTCACAATACGTGTGTGATCCACCAAAGCTCGCCTCCGTGGTTCTGGATTTACAAGCATGCACCGCCACGACCACCATCACTGTCACCACCACCGCCGCCGCCACCACCACCGCCCGGCCAATGATAAAAAAAAAACATTGGGAGCATAAAAGCAGCAATAAGGACCTTGGTGATATGTTCCATTGAAAATGGTGACCCTTAATGAGCAAGATGGAACAAAAATGCACTATAAACACTTGTAAGACAAGTTAGATTCTCCATAGCAAAAACCTCGGAATGATGTCCCAGTCATTTTTCTATTCGTGAAGAATTATAAACCCGTTAGCCTCAAATCACAGTATCTTAATAGTGCACAAAAATAAAATGGAAACGAATAATGGACGGGTTGTAGGTCAAATCAACCATTTGAAAAAAGCTGGATTTAGAAAAGGGGTTTCCACCATTGACTACATTCTCTCATACTCTTAGTTTTTTCCGGTAAAGTCACATAGGCAAAATAAAACAACTAAATTAAATCACGACGTTTCGGAGGCAACACAAGCTTCCGTCTTCAGGTGGAACAGTCACAGCAGAATAGCTGTACCAAGTGGGGAGCTCTTGAGACGACCGGGATTATATACAGGATAAGGGGGGGGGGGGGGGAGGAGCCAGAAAGGGACGTGGGTGGGGGGGAGGGCTAAGTTAAGCCGCCTTTTGTTATGCTGCAGGGGTTCGGGGGGAGCGATGGCGTGCTACACGGGAGCAAGTACAACCCCATTTTTGTTAGAAAGCAATGGGAATGGCTGTACAATTATAAGGCAGCTAAAGTTTGACATTCAACCTACTGAGAGTAATGAAAATGGCTGTACAATTATAAGGCAGCTAACGTTTGACTTGGTTTATAACATCTTTCCACTGGTTGCTCAATTTGAAACCATCCTCTCGGTTGAAGCTGGGTCTATGTTTGTATATCTGGATGGCTTCATGGACAAATCTTTGGTAATAACCGGGAGGTTTGCAGAGAACTTTGGTATCAGAGAAAACAATGTCATGAGAACCCGCTGTGTTGAAACAATGATCAGCCACGGCCGAAGAATTCGATCTGCCGTGTTTCAAATCTGATTTGTGCTCACGGATTCGGTCAGAAATATCTCGTTCCGTCTCCCCGATATACCAGGTACAACTCAATTTGTAAACACCGGGGTACTGTAAGTCAGGAATGATATCCTTTACGGATGGGATCAGATCACGGATTTTGTGTACTGTATTAAACCGGACCTGGATCTTGTGTTTGTTTAGAATTTTGGAAATCTTTTTGGTAACGCCTGCTATGTATGGTAACGTGATGATTTTGATCGGAGTATCAGGTGGTTGTTTCTGTATGGTGGGAGAAACAGGGCTCCCCCTTGTCACCAGTGATAGCCAATGTTTTCATGGATAAATTTGAATCAGACGCCATCCAGACATCCACCCTTCGCCCTTCACTATGGAAGAGATATGTAGATGACACTTTCGTCATCTGGCCACATGGCCTCCCAGCATTGAACCATTTCCTAAACCACATTAATTCCAGATACTCATACATCAAATTCACCATGGAAGTGGAGAAAGATGGCAAGCTGCCATCCTTGGATGTTCTGTTTGAGAGGAGGACCGATGGCTCTTTGGGACATTCTATTTACAGGAAGTCCACACAGACTCCTACTTGAAGCCTGATTCCCACCACCACCCGACTCAAAATAATTATCTCATCAAAACATTATACCATAGGGCTCATTGCATTTCTGACCAACACCACCTGGCCAATGAATTAAAACATGTACATCTCGCCCTCAAGATGAACGGATACTCTGACCGTACTATCCCCCACCCACATCCCTTTCTGGCTCCTCCCCCTCTCTTAACCTGTATATAATCCTGGTCGTCTCAAGAGCTCCCCCCTTGGTACAGCTATTCTGCTGTGACTTCCACCTGAAGACGGAAGCTTGTGTTGCCTCCGAAACGTCGTGATTTAATTTAGTTGTTTTATTTTATTTTACCTACGTTACTTTACCGAAAAAAACAAAGAGTATGAATCAAGCTTCAAATCTAGAATTACGTTCTCTCAATCAGATTCTGGATTACAAAATAACATCAAATACCTATGTAATGGATTAAACAATACACGTAG